ATATAAGTATGTATCCATTACAGTAAATTCTCCCGGATTCTCCTATAGCTTGTTAACAAAAATGAACAATTTGGGAAGGGCCTTGCACCTCGTTTTTATAATTGTTGACAATCGTCAACTATAATCCGCGAGGCTCGAATAATTGTATCTGCTCTTCCAATATTGTCCATTTTTATTTACAAGCTGAAGAAAACCCAGGAGAATTTACTGTAGTTATAAAATTCGTAGTTACAACGACAAGCACCTTCTCGACAGTAATAATTTCTTAGAAGAAAAAGAAAATTGATGTTTCTTGTGCGTCTATATTTACTGGAATGATGAAGTATCGATCGCAAGAGAACAGATTTTTGTTCTGGCTTAAAAGGACGGAATAACATTTGTACTTAATAGGATATTACCAGAAACCTCCGTCACCAGTCTGACTCCTTAGAGTAGGACAATGGATTAAGTAATACGCTTTAAATTATGTTTGATAGAATATAGCGGATGATTGAAAAAGTCGACAGAAGTGTGCACGTTATTTGCAATAAAGAGAATATTGTTTAACCTAGTATGACGTCCATAAGTTCTATGTTTCTGAACATGGTGTTCTTTGGTTCTGTGATGAAACATTGGAGATGCATGTTTGTATCGCGATACGCGTACAATGAACACAGTAATAAGATACTTTTTCTTCGTGCTAATCGCTGCACATCGCGATACAACTTCTCCCTAATTCGCGCAATTGAGAGAAATTGGGAATTCCCAATTTGGGAAGAGGGTATACGATTATTCGAGCCTTGCGACTCGTTTTTATGGTTATCGATTGTAAGCAACTATAAGCTGCGTTCCCCCATCGTCGATTTTATTGCAGAGATTATTAGTATACTGCGGTTTCATGTATTTATTGTAAAAATGAGCAGACGTAAAAGAATTGTAAAGATTTAACATTGTGTATTATTTCCAGCCCACTAGAATCGTTAAAGAAAAAAAGAAACTACAATAAATTCTTCCTAATTGACGCTGAAAGTGTGCCCAAAAATGGACAATTTGGGAAGAGGAGATATGATTATTCGAGCCTTGCGACTCGTTTTTATGGTTATCGATTGTCAGCAACTATAAGCTGCGTTCCTTCATCCTCAATTTTATTGCAGAGATTATTACTAGACTGCGGTTTCATGTATTTATTGTAAAAATGATCAGGTGTAAAAGAATTGTAAAGATTTAACATTGTGCATTATTTCCAGCCCACTAGAATCGTTAAAGAAAAAAAGAAACTGCAATAAATTCTTCCTAATTGACGCTGAAAGTGTGCCCAAAAATGGACAATTTGGGAAGAGGATTTACGATTATTCGATCCTTGCGACTCGTCTTTATGGTTCTCGATTGTTGACAACTATAAGCTGCGTTCCTTCATCCTCAATTTTATTGCAGAGATTATTACTAGACTGCGGTTTCATGTATTTATTGTAAAAATGATCAGGTGTAAAAGAATTGTAAAGATTTAACATTGTGCATTATTTCCAGCCCACTAGAATCGTTAAAGAAAAAAAGAAACTGCAATAAATTCTCCCTAATTGACGCTGAAAGTGTGCCCAAAAATGGACAATTTGGGAAGAGGATTTACGATTATTCGATCCTTGCGACTCGTCTTTATGGTTCTCGATTGTTGACAACTATAAGCTGCGTTCCTCCATCCTCGATTTTATTGCAGAGATTATTACTAGACTGCGGTTTCATGTATCTATTGTAAAAATGAGCAGATGTAAAAGAATTTTAAAGATTTAACATTGTATATTATTTCCAGCCCACTAGAATCGTTAAAGAAAGAAAGGAACTACAATAAATTCTTCCTAATTGACGCTGAAATTGTGCCCAACAATGGACAATTTGGGAAGAGGATTTACGATTATTCGATCCTTGCGACTCGTCTTTATGGTTCTCGATTGTTGACAACTATAAGCTGCGTTCCTCCATCCTCGATTTTATTGCAGAGATTATTACTAGACTGCGGTTTCATGTATCTATTGTAAAAATGAGCAGATGTAAAAGAATTTTAAAGATTTAACATTGTATATTATTTCCAGCCCACTAGAATCGTTAAAGAAAGAAAGAAACTACAATAAATTCTTCCTAATTGACGCTGAAATTGTGCCCAACAATGGACAATTTGGGAAGAGGATTTACGATTATTCGATCCTTGCGACTCGTCTTTATGGTTCTCGATTGTTGACAACTATAAGCTGCGTTCCTCCATCCTCGATTTTATTGCAGAGATTATTACTAGACTGCGGTTTCATGTATCTATTGTAAAAATGAGCAGATGTAAAAGAATTTTAAAGATTTAACATTGTATATTATTTCCAGCCCACTAGAATCGTTAAAGAAAGAAAGAAACTACAATAAATTCTTCCTAATTGACGCTGAAATTGTGCCCAACAATGGACAATTTGGGAAGAGGATTTACGATTATTCGATCCTTGCGACTCGTCTTTATGGTTCTCGATTGTTGACAACTATAAGCTGCGTTCCTCCATCCTCGATTTTATTGCAGAGATTATTACTAGACTGCGGTTTCATGTATCTATTGTAAAAATGAGCAGATGTAAAAGAATTTTAAAGATTTAACATTGTATATTATTTCCAGCCCACTAGAATCGTTAAAGAAAGAAAGAAACTACAATAAATTCTTCCTAATTGACGCTGAAATTGTGCCCAACAATGGACAATTTGGGAAGAGGATTTACGATTATTCGATCCTTGCGACTCGTCTTTATGGTTCTCGATTGTTGACAACTATAAGCTGCGTTCCTCCATCCTCGATTTTATTGCAGAGATTATTACTAGACTGCGGTTTCATGTATCTATTGTAAAAATGAGCAGATGTAAAAGAATTTTAAAGATTTAACATTGTATATTATTTCCAGCCCACTAGAATCGTTAAAGAAAGAAAGAAACTACAATAAATTCTTCCTAATTGACGCTGAAATTGTGCCCAACAATGGACAATTTGGGAAGAGGATTTACGATTATTCGATCCTTGCGACTCGTCTTTATGGTTCTCGATTGTTGACAACTATAAGCTGCGTTCCTCCATCCTCGATTTTATTGCAGAGATTATTACTAGACTGCGGTTTCATGTATCTATTGTAAAAATGAGCAGATGTAAAAGAATTTTAAAGATTTAACATTGTATATTATTTCCAGCCCACTAGAATCGTTAAAGAAAGAAAGGAACTACAATAAATTCTTCCTAATTGACGCTGAAATTGTGCACAACAATAGACAATTTGGGAAGAGGAGATACGATTATTTCTGCCTTGCAACGAATTTTTATAGTTATTGACAATGGGTAACTATAAGAACGAGCCAGAAGGCTCGAATAATCGTATCTCCTCTTCTCAAATTGTCCATTCTGATGCAGAATCTGAGCGTCAATTAGGGAGAATTTATTGTACTATTTATTGTACCACTATTCGAGTCTTGCGGCTCGTTTTTATAATTGTTGACAATCGGTAACTATAAAAACGAGCCAGAAGGCTCGAATAATCGTATCTCCTCTTCTCAAATTGTCCATTCTTATGCAGAATCTGAGCGTCAATTAGGGAGAATTTATTGTACTATTTATTGTACCACTATTCGAGTCTTGCGGCTCGTTTTTATAATTGTTGACAATCGGTAACTATAAAAACGAGCCAGAAGGCTCGAATAATCGCCTCTTCCCAAATTGTCCATTTTTGCGCAATCTGAGCGCGAATTAGGCAAAAATCACTGTATCTTCGTGTGAGACGAATGCAAGGGCTGCTCTAAACTCTGACCCTACATCGCACCGACGATGAAGAGATGGTATCTTCGAGGAAACGTTGACATCGAATTGGGTTACGGTGGGAACTACGCGCGATTAGGACACCCAAGAACGGATGACTCGATCGCCGGCTACGTAGGTGCGTTGCTACGTGCGCAAGCAAATTGTGTAACGCAGCTTTTCGGTAATGGGGTTACGCAATGGCCGCTAAGAAGCATAGCAAAGCAACCGGGCGTGTTCCTCCGAGAAGACACGGTTCCCGGAAAGCGGTAGCCTGTTTCGAGGGTCGTCGGCCACGGCGCGCCGTGTCCCATAGGATCTTGTGAAACGAATCTCTCCGCGACCCGATGACATATATATAATATAACCTCGAGTTTCGCTTGGCGAACAAAATAAAACGGAATCCCGTCGACGGCATTACACGGAGAATTTTCCTTGCGCAGCGTCGCAGGCGGCCGCATATGGTCTAAATGCATAACTACTGCAATCGCATGTTTACGATCGGGGCGATTAGCATAGAGACAGCCGCGACAGACTCGAAGAAAGTTTCTCCGTCGCGGCGTCGCACGGGGAAAGTGATTCGCCGATTGTTCCTCCGAAGCCTTTTTCCGATTTTGGTGGCGGACGAAAGCCTCGTCGAAGGTTAAGAATAAGCCGAAACATTGGCACGCCGCGATCGCCTTTTTCATAATCCGACGCTCTTTCTCGCAGCCACGAGTTCCGGGAGAAAGTGTGTTCCTCCACGAAAACTCGGATCTATTCGCGATCGTGACCGAACGGGATCGTCTCCTCCGGGCCCCTATTGTCGCTTTCGGTGGACCGGCGACAAGTTCCCTAGAATCCGAGGATCGTCCGAGGCGTCCGCGAGAGCGTCGGCGGATCGGTTTTCGGGTCAAATTACGAGCGCAACGATCGAAACTAATGCGAAAGCCGCGCTCGCCGAGCGAAGCCGCCGCGCCGTTGCGTAACCTGGGTTTTCCACCCTGTCTCGTAACCCTCGGGTTTTACGCGGAACTCTCGCGACCCGGTTCCGAACCGTTTGGATCGTTATCGATTCCCGTTTCCCCCGTGTTAACTCGTTCGCGATGGACGAACGCGCGGTTTCTTACGCGCCTCGAAGTATTAGGGGGGCCGGAAAGTAATGTCGTTTCTGCGCACATTTATCTGTTTGAATTCAATGTGAACAAACGACATAACTTTCCGGTCCCCCTAATACATTTCGAAAAGCTTTCAGCGCGTGACGCGAAACTTCTCCCGACGGCTGAACAACTGGCTTACGCTTGATAAGGCGAGAACGAGACGGGGAAATCGTCCGCGATATGAAAAGAAGAAAAGGATCGCGCCGCGCTAATTGAGAGGAGACAGGTGTTCGCGCGAGAAGAGATCGTTACAGTTAAGAGCCGCTTAGAGTTCGAAGAAGGTTTCTTCGCCGGGAGAAAGCATACCCTATCTTCACTTTCCATTTCGATTTACGAGCGGCGCGGGGGTTACGGAGGAGGAGAGGAAGGTCGCCGGGTTCGCCGCCTCGACGAAGTTCTGAGATCTCTCGTTTTACAGAAGGAATATGTATTTCAGTTTGCTGGTCGGGTTGCGACGCCGAGACGAATTTATCGATGCAAGGTACAAGAAGGTCACCGGTGAGCGGAGAAGCCGGGGTCTGGCAGCCGATACACGTTCTGGGAGCTGTTCAGCGCGCTTCTGGGCGCGTTGGTACCGCGCGAAGAGCGGTCGGGAATGCCGATCGCTGGCGATTCGCCGATTCAGTAGATAATGCGATAGCCGTGTTGTTCGATGGAGTAGCTGGAAGGTGCCGCTGTCAGTTCCAGAGGCGCGATCGCCGGGGCGTTATAGATGTACGGCGTAATCTGAAACGGAACCAAGGATTCGTTCAGAAACGATCTCGCGGATTCGGAGAGACATCTCGATCGCGATTACATGTTCCATCCTGCTGCGATCTTCGGTTTCACCGAACCGTTCGCATTCGCGTTTGCCTTTCCGCGACGTTATTTTCAACGATTGATCGAAAACTGCAGCAGGATTGGAGGTAGCGACGGAATTGATACCGATATTGTACGATCGATTCGATACCAAAGTACTTGATAACAAGTTCGCATGTTAAAATGATACCAAAAGCAATACCGTATTGGATCGAAGTTTTTTTGGTACTTTTTTAACACTAAATTAACACTAATTTAACACTATCGACCGGTAGTCGAATGACCGGTTTCACATTTTGCATTTTATAATTATTGAAGTCGTGATGCCGCTTCCGTTAAAAATTCTTGAACATATTTCTTCATTCGGACACACGCTGTTATTAAAATTGTGAGAAATTTGAAGAAATTCTAGTAATTCTTAGGAGAAGCAATTTTTGTTAGGCCTTCGTTTTGCTTTGCTTTTGCTTTCAGACCTCGGTAGGTTTGATGTTAAAGTATCGATACTCGTTTGATACTTCGCGAATTGTCGTTTTTTAGAAAACATTTATGTACAATGCGTGTAGAAGTGTCAGTCAGGCATCGACATTCCCGTAAAAGTATCAGCCAGGTATCGATATTTTAAAGTATTGAAGAGGTATCGATCTCTGTTTGACACCTGCGTCTTTGATATAATTCAGTATTGGATCAAAATTTGTCAACAGGCATCGACATTTCCGTAAAAGTATCAGCCAGGTATCGATATTTTAAAGTATCGAAGAGGTATCGATCTCTGTTTGACACCTGCGTCTTTGATATAATTCAGCATTGGATCAAAATTTTTCAACAGGTATCGATAGGTATCGATAGGTATCGATGCGGTATCAGTCTCAACACTAATCAGAAGGTCTGTAGAACTATTTCTCTCTTTTCTCGAAGCTATTTAAAACGCGCAGAGCTCGTTGGAGAATCGTAGCAACGTTAAAAGGGTCTAATAATCTTCACCCTGATGCGTTCTCCTTTCATCCACATTATTTCCAACGTTCCGGATCGATAGAGAACTGCAAGGTCAAAAGGTTCTAATAGACCGTCTTCGGGACCCAACGACCCCTCACTCCGCAACGTTCTTCCGTCGTCAAACTTATTTTAAACACGTAGCTCGATGCAGAATCGTAGCATAGTTAAAAGGGTCTAATAGTCTTCACGCTGCTGCGTTCTTCTTTCGTCCATCTTATTTAAAATGAGTAAACCGGCGGAGAACGGCAGCAAGGTCAAAAGGTTTTAATAGTCACCACCCTACTGCGTTCTTCTTTGGTTCATCTTATTTCAAACAGGTCGATCGATGGAAAGGATCGTAGAAGAGTTAAAGGAGCCTGTACGCTACCGCGTTCCTTTTTTGAAACCAAACAAAACGTCCACCTTATTTGAAACGTGTAAATCGGTACGGAACCGCAACAAGGTCCGAAATGTTATAATAGACTGTCTATGATGGCCAAACGACCCTAAAACCTGCTGCGTTCCTCCATCATCGATTTTATTCTGAACGTGTAACTCGATGAAGAACTGTAGAAGAGACAAACAGTCAATTCTCCCTAATTGACGCTTAGTTTGGGCACAGAAATGGACGATTTTTTATAGTTACCGATTGTCAACAATTATAAAAGACGAGCCGCAAGACTCGAATAATCGTATCTTCACTGCCGAAATTATCCATTTCTGTGCACAATTTGGAGGTCAATTAGGGAGAAGACTAAGTCTGGGAATCCGTAGACTGCGGATTTGATGCATTTATGGTAAGAACGAGCAGATGTAACTTAAAACGACGGGTAAATTTTAAAAAATTTAACATTGTTCGTGTATTATTTCCAACTCACTAGAATCGTCAAAGAAACGACGCTCAGATTGTGCACAAAAAATGGACAATTTGAGAAAAGGAGACTCGACTATTCGAGCCTTGGGGCTCGTTTTTATAGTTACCGATTGTTAACAATTATAAAAGACGAGCCGCAAGACTCGAATAATCGTATCTTCACTACCTAAATTGTCCACTTTTGTGCACAATTTGGATGTCAATTAGGGAGAATTTACTGTACTTATTAGTAGACTGATTTGATGCACTTATTGTAAGAACGAGCAGATGTAACTTAAAACGACGGGCAAATTTTAAAAAATTTAGCATTGTTCGTCTATTATTTCCAACTCACTAGAATCGTCAAAGAAACGACGCTCAGATTGTGCACAAAAAATGGACAATTTGAGAAGAGGAGATGCGATTATTCGTGCCTTGCAGCTCGTTTTTATAGTCGTTGACAATCGGTAACTATAAAAACGAGCCACAATGTCCAAATAATCTCCTCTTGATCTTTATGCAGAATCTGAGCGTCAATTAGGGAGAATTTATTGTACTAGTTAGCTCTTGTTTGCCGCAACCGATAAAGAACACTTTCATTTAAGATCCGCAGTCCACTTATTAGACAGCGGATTTTCGTGCAAACTGAAAACTTGCCCAACGAATTCGCACAAGCAAGACACAAATTTCATTATTCATCATCATTAACAATCTTTCCCGCGTTCTAAACAATACACAAACGATCGAAAATTCTTTTAATCTCCGCGCAGTTTCAAATTTCATCAACCTCTGTCGCTCATAAACGCGTAAAATCCGCGGTCTAATTTATACAAGGGTCTAACAGCCTCCCCTCTGCCGCGCAAGAGGGGAAAAATTCTTCTTCCCAACCATATCTGAAACGTACAGCTCGCCGGAGGACCGCCTGAGAAGAGTCCTCAGACCTAGTCCAGCAAATGGAACACGTCTCCTCGACCCAGAAGGGGTTACCGGCCGAGACGACCGGCCTCGGCGAGCAAATTTCGACGCGCGAAGGTAGCCCGGCGGACGAGTACGAAGAGATTTTACGAACCTGGCGAGTCGAGAGAAGCGGCGTGATCACAGGTGCGATCAGCGGGCTCCTGAGCTCGGAGATGAGGGAAAGCGACTTCGGAGACGGGACTCCAGCCTTAAGGTTGGTGGCTAGTGGAGCATCACCTAGAAGGGCTGGAGCAGCGCCCAGAGCAGCTCCGCCGGCAGGCGCGGCTGCGACTACGGACGCGGAGGACGACGCCTCGGAGAGTAACGGGGCTGCTGCGGGATTCGGCTCCGTCTTAAGCAGCGGAGGAGGTGCGACCAGGTCCAGCGGCTTCGGGTCCGTGTCCAATTTGACGTTCGATGACGACAACGTCGGAGCTGCGCTAGCCGACCCGATCACAGCAACCAGGAGAATCTGCGGAGAAACAACGAGCCGCGGTTTCTCTCGGAATTACGAGGACTAATTTCGAAGAGGGTTCGGTACTCACGTATGCGTACATGACGATTCCGATACGTTGGTTTCTACGAGCAACTCTCAAATCGCGCCACTATTTCTGTGTCGAGGATCGCCGCGAGCCGGCCGTACTTATAGAGATCCTGGCCGCGCCGTAAAAAGGAAACTCGTCCTCGTTCCTGGGACCTACCAGTCCCTGCGCATCGCAGCTCGCCCGGAGACCACGGGGCGGGACTTATCGGCCCATAACTTCGCTCCACCCTGGCTCCGCCGGTGTGCAGCCAGAAAATTTCGAGGCGCTGTTATCGAGTCGCGGACCAGCGGAGACCGGCGAACCAGCCCCTCGCCGCCGAAAAAAAAAGGAATCGGCGATCGGTCGAATGCAAAAAAGATACGTTCGTCCTGGACGATTCTCCTTGGCCTTGGTCTCGGAAGAACGCGAGAGGGTCCTCGGCTAAATGGCAGCCGGTTCTGTTGGGGCTTCGAGAGGGGTTTTCGGAGGACGCTGCGTTCCTCTTTTTTTTCTCTCTCTCCGTTCGAGAAATTTCGACGAGGACCGTCGCCGATTATTTCACGGATTTCACGTGTTAGAAGCCGCTGCGCGTCGCGAACGCGCGATTCTTTTTTCCCCCGCGTACTCGCCGCCTGCGAAGAGGGAGGCAAGGGCGTACCTGTTCGGACGACAAAAATCGGGAGGACGATTATAACCGGTTCCCGAAGCGCGCTAAGTACCTCCGTCCCTCCGCGGCCGCGAATCTTCCTCCGTCGTGCTCGCCGTGGCTCGATCTCGATCTCGATCTCCGAAGCTGTATAAATTACGCCGAGTCCGCGGACCCGCGTGAAACAGGAGCTAGTTCTCTTATCGATTAAAAATCAATTCCCGTCCGCGGTCTCCTCCGCGATATGCTTCTTCTCCCGTGCCGATTCCGGATCCGAGGACTGGTTTCGCGTGAACCGTTGCCTCTTCGGATAAGCGCCGTCGCGCCACGATCTAATGCTTCTCGAGAAATTTTCATGAAACGCGCGAGATATGCGGCGCAACAGGTATCGCCGAGGTTACTCTAGGCCAGAGAGAAGTCGCCGAAAAGAAGCTCCCTCTGCCGATTCCATATTTAGAACAGTGGGATAAGTCGTTTGCGCGGGGTTCGATATTTCTACTCGTTTTAGCCGCAACGCCGCGTGCTTCGAGGCTCTATCTATCTTCTCGAGGACACGCGATCCCCCTGCTCATCTCGGGACGCGAACTGGACACCCGTGGAAAATGCGATAAGCCACCCAATCGGGACTGGACTCGCTCGTTCCAGCTCCGGCGACTCCATTACGCTGCAACGTTGCTAATTCGAAGCAAAATCGGCGACTCTCTAGGACTTTGGGGAGAGAACCGGCGCCTATCTAGGACTTTGGGGTGAGAACCGGCGCCGTGGGATCAAAGATCTTAGAGAACGAAGAAAGAGAGAGAGAGAGGGGGGGGGCTTGGAAGAAGAAAGACTGATTTGAGCTGAACGTCGATAAAATTTATTTTCGGAGATTAAACGACATCGTCACGGCATGGCCACGTGGCTGTCGCCGCATCATCGGATACGACGAGGGTGTTGAGGAGCAGCAGGTCGACTAGAGCGGCTCTCGGTTCAGGGTAGAACGTTGTTGGCCGGTCGTTCGTTGGCGTTGGTCCGCTCAGAGGGTGTACCCTGCGGCGACGACCGGAGCGTGTGCGTAGATGGAGGCAGCCGGCGCGGCGGCGACGAGAGGGGCGGCCTTGACGACGGCAGCGGTGGCGATGGGTGCAGCAGCGGCGTAGTAAGGTGCCGTAGCGACCAGCGGGCTCTTCACGCTGACTTTGTAGGTGTTGGCGTAGCTGGTGGCGACCGGCACGGTGTGCGCTACCGCGAGCGGTGCGGCGACCACAGGAGCAGCGTGGAGCGCGACAGGAGCAGCCAGGAGACCAGGTGCCGGTTCGGGATGCGGCGCGGCCAAAGCGCAGGCGAACAGAGCGAACAGAGCGGCGAATTTGTACATGACTGCGGTTGGATCGACTCGGTGGTTCGACGGTGAAACAAAGGCTTCGTAAGACAGCTGTGTGATTGCTGAGAGACGAATGATGCTCTACCGTCGAACTTGCCGCGCTTTTATTCCGCCGGCGAGCCACGACTGACCTCTCCCACCCGAAACGCGTCCATTCCGTTGTCCGTTGTCCGTTTCGTTTCGTTTCGTTTCGCCACCACCGACCCCGATTCCTCCTCGTCCTGGGACACAACGCTCGTTGTCCGTCCGCGTGGCCTGCGCAACGAGGCCCGTGCCACTCTTCCCTCCTGCTTTCGCAGCCTACTCCACGAGTAGAACGCGCGCGACTCAGGGTCTCCTTCGAGGCGATACGCCTCGCTTCCCTTCGATTCCTTTCGTTCCTCGTCCGTGGAAGTACATTGTCAAGGACGATGAACCGATCGACCGGGCGAGCAAGGATCCGCGTGCAACGTACTCGAACGGCCCTTTCGACCCCTCCTCCTCCCGCTCCTCGGCACCGACGCCGCCGCAACCGGCCTTCGCTTACACCGCTGCTCAAAAGCGACGATCGCTGAATAACGAGCCGGATCGTTGCTTCTAGAGAAAATCGCGACCTCTCCTTTCGCGAGGGAGAAACGATCGAGTTCCATTCTGACGCGGCGCGAACCGCGTCCCTGCGTCCAGGTATCTCGAGCCTGGGATTTCAAGGGCTGCTGCTAAAAAGGAGCCGCTGATGGATCCAAGGATCGCGTCCATCGGCTTTCAGAGAACGTCGCTCGAGGAATAAATGCCACGCGTCCGCGACGACCGACAGGAATTTCGCAACGACGCTGAAATACGGGCTGCCGTTTTCGGCAGCCCCGGCACGTGACCCCGGACTTTTGGACGACGGTGTACGATGAGATCCGCGAGCGGCGGTCTCTTGGAACCGGCTAACCGACCTTTCGGTATCGTTCGCCATCGTTGGCCGTGCGCGTGCGGCGAGCCTCGATCACGGCGGATGCCCGCCGATCGGGCACAGGTAACGCCCGGTGCCTTGTGCCCGACGCATTATTAGATTGGAAGAACTTTGTTCTTAGATAACGCGGAGCGCGTCGGATCGGTCCCCCGGCGACTAGTCTATAACGGGCGGCCAGCCCTCGCATTTAGAGATAACACCACTTAATTAACGTACCGATTGCGCGTTAATTAATAAACGCGATCCCCATATGGTAGCCCGGTCTCCCTATTTCCACGATAACGTAACGAGTCTCTCTCTCTCTTCGCGCGGCTTTCATCGATGCTAATGCCAATACCGATGACGTTACGTTATACATCGTGTTTACTTCGAGCGACAGAATACAATTGCGCAACAATTAGTGAACCGTTTCGACGCCCACCCGAGGCACTTGGAGACGCGCCGTCGCGCGACGCGACGCGTCGCATACCGACGGGCATCGTCGTCGCCTAGACGAGCACGGCCGAGGGGACCGGAGACGGCTCGCGGTAGGCGAACGGGTCGACAGCTTGCGAAATCGATCCAGTATTCGCGTAACTACCACCGCGCGGGACCAACGTTAATCGCGATTTCAGCGATTGTTCTTTTCGGAACCCGTCCACCTCGTCTAACCCTCTCTGCGCCGTTCCTCGCGGCGTGTCCCCGTACCTAGCTCTCTCTCTTTCTCTCTCTCTCTCTCTCTCGTCTCTCCTGTCCACATCCTTGTCAACGCGCACCGGCAACCATACAACGGCCGCGAGCAATTTCATAGCAAGGTCGCCGGTTTCGTAAATGCCGTTCTCCACACGCCCGAAGAAACCGCTAACGATCGATCGATAACAGCAACGCGCCTCGCCCGGACCATTTTCGTCCCCACAGTTTTTCAACCTCGTTTATTTCGCCCGGTCCCCGCTGTTTTGACGGGCCCACGGGACGGCTGATCGATCGGGGGAAAAAAAGTATCGAAGATCCGGCTCGCGCGATAGCGGCGTCCAAATCCGGAAGACCTTGGCCTGTCCTGTCAAGACGAGGGCCGCGAGCAACGTTAACCAGTTTCTTTTCGGTTCGCTCGGGCTCGGCTATAAAAGAACCCGTCATCCTCGGGACTCGGATCAGTGGAGGTTCACTAGGACAACGAGCAATGTCGACGTCGAAGCTCCTCGCGATCGCCCCTCCCAGGACGTTGCCACCTGCCACGATCCTACGCCGCGATAGACGACGGTCACTTCGTACACGCGCGTCTCCTTCCGGTCTAACGCAAGTCTAGATCCTCGGCGTCGGTCGAACGGTAGCCCGCTGATCGATCAGCACGGCCCCGAAAGAGCTCCTGAAAAGCTTCTTTTAACCCCTTGGCCTACACGATATCTGCCAATTACGCGAGCTATCGTAAACAAGAAAATCGGTCGCGCGCCGTGCCATTCAACTGTTCAGCCGTATACCTGAACTGGCGCAAAATGTGTACCTTTCAGTGCAACGAAAGGAATTGCGAAATAATAAACAATGTTTAGGTACAAATAGTAATTTTAAGACGTCTAGGGTGCAATCATAATCAATTGATCAGTTGACAAAAATAATTTATTATTTCAAAGTAGATAATGAATCAATAGCAATTTATAAATGAATACTAACTACGAGTCTGACTCGTGGCTTTTGTTTATGGCACAAATTCTTTACCACGAGTCAGACTCGTGGTTTTCGCTTATGGCACAAATTTTTCACCACGAGCCAGACTCGTGGTTATAGGCCAAAGGGTTAAGAGCTCCTTTTCTCCGGGAAAGCAAGCAGAATCGGAATCGTTTCTATTGGGTTGGCAACTAAGTAATTGCCGATTTGTTCAATGAAATAAAAAATTTTTTTACTTGGAATGAAGTTTAATCTGTAATGTGTATTTTCCATTTTGTTCGATGACCTTTTGCCATCTCTCTGACAACTTGAAAATTCCACGCTCGTAGAAAGTCTGATCCTTTTCGGCCAAAAACTGAGTTAAGTGAGATTTTACAGCGTCGTCATCATTAAAAGTTTTACCACGAAGGGAGTTGTCCAGGGATCGAAATAAGTGGTAATCCGATGGCGCGATATCAGGGCTATATAGTGGGTGTAACATCAATTCCCAACCAATATCCATCAATTTTTGCCGAGTGGACAAAGACGTGTGCGGCCTAGCATTGTCCTGGTGGAAAATGACACCTTTACGATTGACCAATTCTGTTCGCTTTTCCTTGACCGCTGCATTCAATTTGTCCAGTTGCTAACATTCACGGATAATAAAAAATAACGTAATAATAATAATAATAATAATTTTATAATATAACATTTACGGATATCATAAAAATGGGAGTGAGAGACATCTATAACTGAAATCGGCAATTACTTAGAGTTGCCAACCCAATATCTACCGAGAAGTTTTCAATAGAGTCACCGTGTACGCGTTTTCATCGGTGGTGTTCCGAGGCGTTGCGTAGGCTCCCCCGGAACACGCCTATCGCCGGGAACCTTGAAAACACGGTATTCCTAACTGGGCACAATGGATGGTCGGGAATAAAAGTATTGTTTCTATCGTGAGAAAGAGAAAAAGATCCTTGGAACGTATCCACCGACGCTCGTTTCCGTTGATATCGATGCCGTTCGCGTGTTTATGCACCGTTCCCTCGCCGGTTCCACGCCCCATCCAGTTATCTCTGTCGAGGCCTCGGACGTGGATCGTGTCACGGCTAGCTGAGGATTCGCGAGACTCGTCTACCATGACGGTTTATCGTGCCTTTCCATTCTAATCTGAGAACCAGGGGTTTAAAAGCTTCCGAAAATAATTGTTTCACACTGTTGTAAATCGGTTCTGGCTGAAACATTTACGAAGGAACATCTCGTAACTGTTATCATAAGGTGCATCGGGTTCTGGCTTGCATTGTGCACGGTTTTTCGCTCTTCAGAACCGACGTTTCGTCGCTTCTGTAACCGCTATTTTCAGGTTTTGGGTTTGAGTTTGTAGTTTTATTTTACGTAATACAGTAATGTCTCCCTAATTGACGCTGAGATTGTACACAAAAGTGGACATTTTGGGAAGGGGAGATACGATCGATCGAATCTTGCGGCTCGTTTTTATAGTGGCAGATCATCAACATTCATAAAAACGAGGTGCAAAACTCGAATAATCGTACCTCTTTTTCTCAAGTTGTCCATTTTTCTTTCCAAGCTAAGCGTCAATTAGAGAGACATTACTGTAGATACGTTGATAAATCCTTCTTCTAATAATTTGAGATACGAGGCTGCAGGGAAATACATTTCCATAAAATAAGTAACCCTATCAATTCCACCGCTACCACCACTACCAAAAAGTATTCCTTACAGAAACATTCGAACGCAGTGAAGACGAATGCGAACTACGGTAAATTCTCGCAAATCGTTCCTCGGCTTGTAAACAAAAATGAACAGTTTAGGAAGAGGAGATAGGATTATCCGAGCCTCGCGGCTCATTTTTATAGTTACTGGTTATCAACAATTATAAAAAACGAGGTGTAAGTCTCGAATATTCTTACCTCCTCTCCTCAAATTGTCCATTCTTGTGTACAATCTGAGTGTCAATTAGGGAGAATTTACTGTATTGAGAAACGAACTGTGTTGAGAGAGGGTAAATACTGTATTTACTTCATGGGTATCTGTGTAATACTTTGTATTATCTGCAAGGTGCAACTACGTGCATCCTCGTAGGGTGGTTTTGTCTATTACACAAAACCGAAACCCAGAACCAAAAAATAACATTTTTTCAGGGTGTTCCAGAGTGAACTTCTTAGCTGTGGGCGACGTGTATAGACGTTATAAGGAAATGGCAATTTTACATCTTACAATAAAAATAGTTCTACGATGTAGATTAAAATTCTTATAAATCTCGCACATTTTAGAATAATTTTAGAACAACTTGTCGAAAGAAAGTGCACCCGGTGTGATCGATAAAAACGCGAACAAAATTGATCTTAAAAATAGATCGACGCAGCTAAGTAAATCGCCAAACTTCAGAGATATATTTAGCACTTTGAAACAAAGAAATTTTTCCTCTGGAAGTGTATTTGCAAATGCTTCCTCGAAGAGATATTTACTTCTAAAGTTATCGAGAGTTAGGAACGAATAACTGAAATATATCCGTGTTTTCAAGATGGGAAATTTGCTTGCTATTTGCACTGCAAACAAAGCTCCTTTTATACGTTCTGAATAACTGTTAATAATATTGAAACATTAAAATTGAGAATAGTGCAATCCTGTAACGAAATATGTAGTAGGTGTACAGTGTCACTCGGCCTTTTTTTCTTTCTTTTCTGTTCGCAGGTGCAATGTTTATCTCCAAGCTGAATATAACCATTTCGAGCATCGCATGTAATAATTGCAATCATTTTTAGAATTATTTTTACAACAAATACAACAATTTTCTTTAGTAATTTACTTGATAAACCCGAATTAATTCGATGGTATTCGTTACTATGTCCTACAACTGTAATAGTAAATATCTCTTGAAGAAAGCATTTACGAGCATACTTCTAGAAGAAAAATTTGTTTTTGTTTTACCATTCTAAATTCATGTCTAAAATATGGCTATTTAATCTGTGAACACCCTGTATAACTAATATAATATCGGTATTCAAGAACCGACACCAATATAAGTCAAGAGTCGATACATCTTGTAACAGTTATGAAACTTTTTTTATGCTTCGTAACTGTTTCAAGAACTGAAACCGACATCGCACGACTGTTTTCAACAGGGATCGAGAAGGTTCCGAAAATAACACAGTTTCAAACGGTTATACATACACCGGTTCTGACTGAATCAGTTATGAAGAACCGAAGAGATCTCAACTATTATAAGCCGTATCGGTTCTGGCTTACATCGGTTTCGGTTCTTCGGAACCGATATTATAGCGGTCCTATAACTGTTATTTTTTGGTTCTTGGTTTAATTTATAATTCTATTTTACATTTTACGTAGTATATATTTATATATACTATATTTCCTTGAGATACTGAAATGTACCTAGAACGAAAATGCGAGCAATATGATCCAAAAACGAAGCTAAGAATCGAAAAATAGAGAATAGAACTACGAATAGAACCAACATAATATCGGTTCTGAAGAACCGAAACCGCAACCGATATAAGTCAGAACCGATACACCTTATAGCTAGACTGCGAATTTTCGTACAAAATAGGAACTGTCGTCATCAATTGCAAGAAATACGAAGTAAGTAGGAAGTTCTTTCCCTCTTCAATAACTTGAATGGCTTAAAAATATAATGCATTGATATTTTCAAATTCTCTCAATGTGTATACTACTTTAAACTGCAACAATCTAATTTTGCCATAAATGCATAAAATCCGCGGTTAACTGGCAACAGTTACGATACTTCTTCCGTTCTTGATAACTGTTTGAAGAACCGAAACCTATGATGACTGTTTTCCACCCCTGCTAAAAATCTGCCATCGCACCTCGACTCCCGACAGCAGCAGGAAAATTCAATTCGATCGTTGCACGAACCTCTTTGCACTCAAGCCATTTTAACTCTGAATTCGAAATAGTTCTTCCGACTTACAGTATTTCCATTTTGTACGACTTAAAGTGCATTTTATATGTATATAAATTAAATATATATGTATAAAATATATTATACATATCCTTATATGTATACAATATATATATTTTATAATATATAATTATATTATATTATTATAATATATTATGAAATATATTAAATATATATATACATATTTCATAATATATATTATGAAATATATTATATATATATGTATATATATTTCATAATATATAATTATATCATTATATATATAAATATTATATTATATATATAAAATATATATAATATAATATATTTATAATTATAATAATATTACATAATATAATATAATTATATTATAATAATATATATATAAAGATATGCATAATATAACACATAACATTTTTATATATATAAATTTAAATATTATATTATATATGTTAAAAGTGTAATTGTTGCACGAATCAGAAAATTCAATTTCATGCATATATATATTACAACAATCACACTTTTAACAGTTTCGAAAATATAAAGGAATTCCATAACGTTGAAATCATTTGTAAACGTTATGTAACAATTTTAAGCGACGAGTCGGAGTCCGCCGTCGCTTACAATGGGTTAACTCTTGGAACAGATAGAAACAGGTCTGGTCGTTACATTTCACATGGTGTATTACACGACAAGTTTCGACAGACAAGAACACAACAAAGAATTAAGATTGCAACGCGATAGATGCGCGCGTAACACGCTGCTGGAACGGTGAACTACAAGTAGGGGGTTGGGATTCAGGAGGGCTGTATTCGCGTGGGTACATTCGTGTGCGGCGACGTGCAATACATACGTGTGTACATGTAGCCGGGGAACGTATACACGCGCGCACGCATGTGCATACAGGCGACAGAATTGATTCTGACATGAAAGCTGTTGCCGTGAGAAGAACAGAAACGTATTGGAATGACGAGACGGGGAGAATGGGAGAGGGAGAGAGAGGCGGTGACGATGTTGGTTGTTTCCAGATGGTACGAGATTCGCGTGGAATTTGCACGGGGGCCGATCGGTCTCACTGGTTTTCACCCTCGCCTTCCTCTTCCTCGTCGAACTCGCCCTCCTCGTCGGCGGTGGCTTCCTGGTACTGCTGGTACTCGGACACCAGATCGTTCATGTTGCTCTCCGCCTCGGTGAACTCCATGTCGTCCATGCCTTCCCCCGTGTACCAGTGCAGAAACGCTTTCCGCCTGAACATCGCGGTGAACTGCTCCGACACCCTCTTGAACAGCTCCTACAAACAGACCGACCAATCGATTCGTCTCCTAAAAGCACACGCCGGGATCTCCTCGATCGATCGCCTCCGACATATTCCTCGAGTTCGAATGCTCTACCTGAATAGCCGTCGAGTTCCCGATGAACGTCGCAGACATCTTCAAACCGCGGGGCGGAATGTCGCAGACGGCGGTCTTCACGTTGCTGGGTATCCACTCGACGAAGTAGCTGCTGTTCTTGTTTTGTATGTTCAGCATCTGCTCGTCCACCTCCTTCATCGACATCCTACCGCGGAACACAGCCGCCACGGTCAGATAGCGACCGTTCCGGGGGTCGCAGGCTGCCATCATGTTCTTCGCGTCGAACATTTGCTGCGTCAGCTCGGGGACCGTCAGAGCCCTGTACTGCTGCGATCCTCTGCACGAGGACATTTCCGATTACAATTTTGATACCTTCGAAATATGACCGATCAACACGTTGAATGCCACCGGGGCCACCGGTGACCGGCGCGCCTAAATTGATAGGAATATATTTATATATATATATATATATATATATATATATATTAATACAAATATATATTAATATATCATATATAATAATACAAAATTTTAGATATTAACATTTGTTTTAAATTATTTTAAAACAAATGTCAATATCTAAAATTTTGTATTATTACCATCGTCAATTCAAACAGTGACTCCTGTCGCAATTAACATGTCAAACATGGTTATACACTGTAACTTATCTATTGCAGACAATATTTCTACATTATATGTATCACATAAAAGAGAAAATTCATCGTGGCGCCACGGACAATTTCTGTAAAATCGGCGTGGCATTCAACGTGTTAAAGTACTTGGACACCCGTTAATCTTTTGCATCCGAATGGCAACTCTGGGGCGCCATTACAAATTTCTAGACCACGTTTTTGTTCATATTTCAGAAACTGTTGAAATTGTAAATATTTTACGAGCCAATAGCCTCGATTTCATACGCAAAATGCAATAAATCATATGAAATGGAAATATTGTAGGTCGGTGTAACTGTCTTGGGGATTTAGAGTTAAAATACGTTCGAGTGCAAAGGGTTCAAATTGTAATAACCTTTTTAAAACTGGAGTAAATCACTTGAATTGTTTACAAATGTTAGAGAAACTACTTTACTCTATTAAAATGCTTCTTTTTTATTTTGCTATTATTTGGAATGGAAAACGAGAAAGTAAAAAGTTGTTTACCTCGAGCCTGTAACGAAAATTTTAAAAATGCGTTTCAAAGATCTCGATAACTTACGTGTACGCTGAAATTTTTATCGAAATCAGTTGACCTTGATACGAGCTTTTGAAACGATTTTTTACACTATCGACCGATAACTGTCGAATATCTGCAGATTTTTACATCGTTCAACGCCTGTAGCTCGATTCTGCGTTCACCGATTCCAATAAATTTTTCAACATGCATACAAATTGCAGACATTTATAACATGTATTTTTAAATTTTCGTTGTCAGCTCGAATAAAAAAGCTAAAAATCTAGTGTTTTTTATTTTCTTTTACCGTTCCAAATAATAGCAAAGTTAAGAATAAAGGTATTCTAGTATAGTATACTTGTTTCTCAGTTTTAAGAAAAGTTATTGCGTTTTAAAAGCTGTATGAATACTTTTAGTCCGCCACTGTATGTCCAATCAGACAGTTCTTTAATCAGCTTTTCTGTTCTTATCCTTTTTTAGGTTTAGAAAAAATGCCAAATTTTCTTTATTTAGAAATTAAAAATATCTTGCGACTGAATGATGGCATTTGGCGTAATCTCAATAGAGACTACCGATGACTATAAATTATTTCTTTGTTTAGCAATTACTTATTTAGAAGAACACTTTAACTTCGATGAAAATTTTACATTTGGCAAATTGTCAGTTCAAAGCCTGTTAAATAATTAATTTCCGACATACTAGAAATTTGTTGATGTTATATTGAAGATTCGAAGCTAAAAGAAAAGCTGTATATTTGAAAACATGATTGTAATAATTTGTTGGTGAAGTAATATTAAAATAATTAATTTAATTAATTAATATAATTTTTAAAAAATTCAAAACATAAGGTAGCAAATGGCACATAATTTTA